ATTTTATCTCATTGCAGTTGAACTGTTTACCTGAAATTATACTTTATCGTCGATATTTCTGCAAAATTGTGTTACGATTGACTAATTGGTTTTAGCTAGGTAAATGACAACATGGGATTTCCAATAGGGTTCACAGGAAACTTTTTTTGACACTATTGCCACCATGTATGCCCCAGCTCCGCATCTTCAGTATGATCCAAATCCGACGGTAGTTCATGTTCTTGTATAGTCAAGGGGAGTTTTCAAGGATCATTTTAATGTTTAATCGTTTCTTTATTTATACCAAGGATGATAGTAAGAATATACAAATCCTTGTTTATACCATACATGGAAAAAAAATTACACAAAAGACAACGACTTCTTACCCGACATATTTTTTTCGGGTCCTTCGAATTTTTAGTCAATATAAAAACAGTTAACAAGTAAAATTCTGTTATTTAGAATTTGTGACAATGGCGTCAAGACAAATAGTAGACCTAGAACACAGGGATCCTCATGACATTAATGACCATGTTAGGGTAAGTGTAAAAACTTATTTTCATGCTGACAAAACGTTAACATGGATAGATGGGTTTATTGATAATTTTAAAATTTGCTTTTCAAACGTTTATTAATTAATTAATTGAATTAATTTATAATCTAAAATATATTTTTTTCCAGTTTTTTGTGGATTTCAATAAATTAAAGTTTGTAGAAATGTAAATGGTTTATCTTTGGTGCTTTGATACCTAAAATAAATATTTGAAAATTATCTACAACTACCGATCAGTTTATTGATTAAAAAAACAGATTTTTTTTATTCGAAACATGGGATACAGTTTTAAATCATCATTTGGTTATTGCGAAGGTCTCGTTTCAAATTTTATGCTTGGTTCAAAAGTAGTTTGTCAGTAATATTTGGGGTATATTTAGCCGGTTTTATTTGCTTTTCTTTCTTATTTATGATATCGAATTTACTTGCAACCAGCCTAGCCTACAGTCAAAGGATAAAACACGTGGTACTGATATCACAAAATACTACGGCAAAATTAAATCTGGTAGACCAACGATGAAATTAGATCTGGTAGATCAGCGATGAAATTAGATCTGGTAGACCAGCGATGAAATAAGATCTGGTAGACTAGCGATAAAATTGTTATATATATTACTAGTTCAGTCACCTTGGTACTCTGTTTTTGTACAAGCACTAGATTTTTTTTTATTTAAATAGTGCGATTTTCAAAACCCGCCCGCGTTAAGTTTTACGTGATTGAACTAAAACTGAGTTCTTTATCCGTCATGTGGAAAAATTGATTTGCAAAGACAGAACATATACGTACCTCCATTTGTTGACACAAATAATACAGCAATATAACAAAGAAACAAAATCACAACCGGTGAAAAATTGGGCACAAATATTGAAAACTTCATTTTATTGTTTGTAGGCACCTGCACACTATAATCCTAATTTGACATAAAAATCATTTATCTCTGATTTTTGTTACAAATTTCCACTAATATTCCTGTTAACACTAAAAGCGGCATATTTCTTAAGTATCAACGTTCCTTCTTTTTTGCTACATAATTTAGATCAATGTAACGTAGAGTTAAACTGTTGTCCGGTTTGACCGGATGTCCTGGTGATTGATAAAATATGACAAACTACTTAACCGCTATAGTAGTTTTGACAATAATAAAGTTAGGCTAAAACACAAGGATAAAGTCAACAAGACACGATTAAACCAGGAACTACCCTAAATTGCAGTGTATTCTTTTGTCAGAAGTCGTAGACTTCTTTTCTTTTAAAGGGGTATTGGAGGGAAATGAACCGTTGATAATCACAAGTGTAGAATATGTACTGTAAATGGAAAACTGTGTTAGTACGTGGTAACCAGAATAGCTACCCTTTTTCATACATAGATACTTTACGCTATAAAGTATAAAACGATTTGTTTAGATTTTCAGCCATGCTCAGTCGGATCCCCTTCCTTGAATCCCAATGCCTCGTATAGGGAAAGTGCCACGCTCTCTGCACTTTAAGAAACAACTGCAACAACTCTATAATCAAAATGTTAGGGGTCCGTAGGTGGCATATTACAAAGTAAAATTTCTGCCAATAAATCCATCACTTTCTAATTTTTCTAGATGCAGACCATATATCCTTCAAAAAGCCTACAGTTCCTATTACATTAATTGTTTCAGATTTGTTTTTGCCTTGGATATAGATGAAATATGTGTCACTGGACGTTAAACAAATAACCATCAATCAATCATAACATACAATTTTTCCATCGCTTTAATCCCAATTTGTTTTACTCACATTGCGCACTTTCTAAACAGAAATTTTCATTGCTGTCAAAAATACACATTCGAGATGAAATGAATTTTTTTTCAATCTATCAGAAAAACTAGACAGGTATTTATAACGTACATTAAAAAAAGAACAGGACAGGATGTTTTGACCTTTTGTTCACATATTAAAGCTCAGTGTTAATCTACCAGTTTGATTTTCTTTGCTCAAGTTGCATGGAATAAAAGTAATTCCGATTCTTACTAAAATGTTCTGTATAGTTGGATATATACATTTTGCGATAGCCTCATCTGTACACATGCTACAGTCAGTAACCTTCTTGGCGAACCGAGAGATAGAAATTTGAATCAAAGCCTGTGCCTTGGGAATCTCGCAAGTTGTGATACTCCCTCAAGAGATGTACATAAATGTGTGAAATTCTGAAAGTTGAATATACAAAGTATTGTTTGATTATCTTGTAGACAAAGCAAAATCTGAATACTTCTCTAAATTGCCTGCCAAAGTAGTCAATGAAACTGTAAATAGTTAAAGTGGACAAAATAGATAAGAAAACCTAGGTTTGGTTCTATTTGAACTTGAGCGCAAATACGTGAATAAAAAAAATACCATTATAGCTTCTATAGCACCGCTTCAGTTCATTGTAATATTATTGATAACAAAAGAAATTCCTGCTTTTTAATATTTCATGATAAATTCATTTTAAGTTGAAAGATTGGGTCCCAATTTTCCATCTTTTTAAATTTAATTAAGAATTGACTTCAATGTTTGTAACTGTAGTTAGATGACATGGATCTCGGCCGCTGTTCTTTTCTGGACGGTTTCAAGTTTTTCTTGTATAAATAAAAATGTCTGCATGTTTCTGGTTGTTGATGGCACTTAAATTGCTAAATTTCTAGTTTAGTTTCGCAGCTATGATGTTTCCTGAAAGCATGTTGCCTGTCTTTGAGAATGTTGTTCTTTTCGAAATGCTGCATATGTCTTTGGCTGAATCTATAATTACTTGAAATAAATCCAAGTGCTCTGTATGGTATATTAGATATTTCTTCCGAATGTGTTTGCCCCGAGTGTAGGTTGATGGTAATATTTACGCCACGATATTTGATTGATTGGAGAAATACAAGTCCTTACATTATTATTCTAATCTTTCTGCTAAGTGTCATCATTACATTTGATCTCATACCACATGTGATCCCATGTTGTTGCCCAATTTCCTGGTCTGTCTATGTCGTCCTGTAATTTTTTATAACCATTGATGGTGTTGATTTCTCTATAGCAAACGCATTCATCTGCAAAAAGTATGGTAATGAATGAAATATTTTTTCAGAGATGTCGTTGATGTGTACCAGGAATAATATGGGACCCAACACAGTGCAATGCGGGACACCTGGGAGCACGGAAGTTGTTTTTTGAATTGCAACCATTTATGATAATTTTTCTACGAGGGAAAAGTTAGTTAAATCAGAATGGTCGTCAATAAGATAATCTAGACTAAGATTCAAAATATTATAGCTTTTCTGTGTGTACTGTGTAGAAAGCCCTAAGACAATGACAAATACCTGGCAGCAATTTTAATGGACCTGAGTATTTAACGGATTACGCATTCGACTGCTTACCTCATGAATTATTACTTATGAAATTGAACCACTATGGTCTGAGTGAATCTGCTCTAAATTAATTAAAAAGTTACCTGATTCATAGACAACAATGTGTCAAAATTGGCCAAAGTATCAGTCAAAAAAAAAAGTCTTGATATGATACAAAGGTGTACCACAGGGTTCTATACTAGGCCTTGTTTTATTTAATATTTTCATCAACGAAATTATTTTCTTTGTAAAGAGCTCTGACCTGTATAATTATGCGGATGACAATACCCTTTCAAAATCTGGCTCTTCTTTGTCTCAGTAATTAAACCCTTGGAGGAAGACAGTGGCTCTCTAATTTGAGGGTTCTCATCAAATAAAATGCAGGATAATACAGAAAATTTTCAAGCCATAACGATTGGTAGTAAAACATAAAAAAAACAGTATCTTCAATTAAATGGAAACACCATCAAATGCGTTGACGAAGTAAAGCTACTCAGTGGAGTGACCATTGATTTTAAGCTGGACTGTAACCAACACTTTTCAAACAAGTAAAAATAAACGTTCTAAAAAGGATTGAACCAAACTTGAATAAACTGGCAAAAATTGCAATTTACTACTCTTTCATCATGTCAAACCTAAGTTACTGCTTACTCACATGACACTTTTGTAGCGAGCGTAGCACACAAAAAAATTAAAAACAACAAAACTTGACGAGCGCTCAGAGTCATCTACACAACAACAACACATACACACATTTACTTGAACAATCAAAACTTCCATCACTTAAAATAAGACGCATGAGAACCATGGCATTAGAAACGTACAAAACTGTTACAAAATCCAGTCCTGAGTTCTAACACAATATGTTTAAGATAATTCATATAATTTTAAATATAAACTCACAGTCGATTATTTAGTTTATATTATACATGTGTTTATTTACATGTGTGCTGTGTATTATGTCTTATGTTCTTATAATTGTTATTTATGTTTTTTTATTTATATCAAGTCGGTTAAGAGCTCTACGGAGCTTATGTTTACTAAGTTAATTTGTACATAACTTGTCCGACTCTAAATAAATAAAAAGTTGGTATTCAGATCATTTTATTTTCCGGATATATCTCGCTTCATATCCGTCAGTGACCTATTATTACACAATCTAGCCCAAAAAATTCAACCACCCGTTTCAACCCATGGGGGAATGGCAGCACCTCCTAAACCCTGGGAAATTGCAGGTGTGAACCAACAAAATGCTGGAAATATTCCTGTAAATAATATGTCAGGGTAAGTTCATTTTTAACTGTTATTTTTAACATTTGTTGTACAATCTTGCATCCTACATTTTGACCGAAAAACAACTCTTATCTGTATCTGTATGAATACGTTGTCGATACCAATACTGGCTTTAATACAACGATAAATGTATCCCAATTATCAATGATAGAAATATAGACTTTGGATTTCAAGATATCTGCTAACATGGCGCAAACATTCAGATAAATGACAACAATTTGCCCAAAGACACCATTAGTAGCATTACTGAAATATCATGCGGATAAAAGTTAATATCTATCAATCGAGTCACATACATTTCGTATCATCTTCTTCCTTATAACATTTATCATGTTGAATATTCTAGCAATATGATGTATATGTTTGTTTCACATTGTTGTCTTTCCTTGATAATTTTTAAGTTAGAATTTAGGATTACACAGGTTGGGGAAGATTCTCAAAAACGGGTACTTTCCCCATATGGGTATTATACCTCAAAACATGTATCCCAATTATCAATGATAGAAATATAGACTTTGGATTTCAAGATATCTGCTAACATGGCGCAAACATTCAGATAAATGACAACAATTTGCCCAAAGACACCATTACTGAAATATCATGCGGATAAAAGTTAATACACCTTATCACTATTTAGTCCATTCTGGAAAAAACAGTCATTTAGACAAATTCCTGTATGGGTCAATGTTACAAAACAGGTCCGGGAACACAGTTATCGTCCTTTGATTTTCGTTGTCCACAAATATAGTCCCTAGTATATACAGTGTGTTACTTGCAGATTTTTTTTATACCCCTTCCAAATTTATTTCTTCATGTTTTATGCCTCAAATAGCAAGTAGGGGGACGAAATTACACTGTAAAAAAATTTGGGTCATGAATTTTAAAGTGAAGTAGTGATTTGGTCCAGCTGAAAAAGGTCAAAAATTAGCATTTCGGAGGCTGTCAAAAGATTTCCTGACCCCCTTATCATAAAAATGTCAATATTTTGAAAATGAGCTGATGAATTTCTATAATTTGTCCAAAAGTGGTACAACGCACTGTAAAAATATAATTGAGAAAGCGCAGGTGAGATTTTTTTAATTTTCATTTTATTGTCTAAAAGAAATGCACTACGAAATAACTGTGTTCTCGGACCTAAGGGATGAAATCAGTAAATATAGAATCTGTAATTTGTCAATTCCCTGAATGATTTAATGGTGTCAATTTGTCAAGTAGCATGAAACTAAAGGATTTAAACTTTTATTTGATAGAAATTCTATAAAAATGACACATTTTGGCATTATATGGTCATAATAAGCATTACAAAGCTTTTTCAATTTTGATGCATAAGTGGCATTTTGACTTTCTATCTGACATATTTTCATGTGTCAATATTTGTGTTTCTAGGCTTTAATCAAGTTTTATAATACATTTGTGAACTCTGAATCTACAGAAAAGTAGATTATCTCAGACAAAATGTGCAAAATGTGTTGTATGAAGGGTCCTCGTCTAACGTGCTGTTTGGAGCAATTTAAATATGAGGAGCTTGGTACATAAAAGTTGAAGTCCATAAATAAGATTTCACTAAGTTTGTATAAAAAGCACTTTACAATGTCATTTGTACCTGTTTCGTTTCACATACTATCTTTCTTTTCTTCTGTAGGATAGCAAGTGGTTCAAATATATGCCTGTTGTGACTAAAATCGCATGCAAGTTTTTCACTACAAAGTGAAAAATCTTTGTATCAGACCATACTGTCTGCAAAAAAAGTTGAATGCAAGAGTCCTTTTGTACTCCGATTTCTTTTATCATGTAATCTGAGTGTAGAAATGAAAAAAAAAGAAACAAATTTTTATTTCTTATACATGTAGCTTCAGTATGCATTTTTGAATGTAAATATGTGCTACGGCTTAAATTGACCCTAAATTATTTCAGTCTTACTTGGCCTAAGACCATTTTATACTCATATGATATGCTATTTGTAATTTTTCTTTCCATTTTAAGTACATTAAATACATACGTAAGGATTATTTGTAACCAAAAAACTTCACAAATTTAAAATTGCTGGAAAATATTACATCTTCATGTAAGGCCCCCTTCATTGGAAAACCTCCATTTTCAGGCACAGGCTCATATAAATTTGACTTTTGAGTAATTGTGATAAATCTGATACATCAAATGACTATTCTATTGGTTTAAATACATGATATGTTAACTATTAAGGCATTTTAAAGGAATGTTTTTGCAAAATTTTGATTTTTAAAGCCCCAAATGGTGATAGTTGAAATTTTTCAATTTTAACGTCAAAACTTAACACGCAAAGTTGAATATAGAATTTATCATATTGTCTATAATATATATCCTATTGCCATGAAACTTTGTCAGCAGTCTTATAATTTGTTAAGCTTTGGTAATACCAAGTTTTATTAAGATTGGTTAAGTATTTCTATCCTATTAGGTCCAGGAACACAGTTATCGTCCTTTGATTTTCGTTGTCCACAAATATAGTCCCTAGTGTAGACAGTGTGTTACTTGCAGATTTTTTTTATACCCCTTCCAAATTTATTTCTTCATGTTTTATGCCTCAAATAGCAAGTAGGGGGACAAAATTACACTGTAAAAAAATTGAATTTTAAAGTAAAGTAGTGATTTGGTCCAGCTGAAAAAGGTCAAAAATTAGCATTTCGGAGGCTGTCAAAAGATTTCCTGACCCCCTTAACATAAAAATGTCAATATTTTGAAAATGAGCTGATGAAGTTTTCTATAATTTGTCCCAAAAGTGGTACAACACAATGTAAAAATATTATTGAGGTGGGATTTTTTTAATTTTCATTTATTGTCTAAAAGAAATGCACTATGAAATAACTGTGTTCTCGGACCAACAAAGGTCATCAGCAATGAGCTGAGGGAGGAATAAGTTTGGAAGGTGAACATTTCAAAATTTTGATAGTTTATGAAACAATTGTTAAAAAACAAATTAAAGTCATTAAAAATGCTTTGTTTGATGTGCTTACAATGGTTTAAACATGCCTGTTAAAAAAAGTTTTATGCACAATATATTGTTTGAACAAGGCACCAGATAGCTTCAACTGGTTTGAGAAAGTTGTGTAATTTAAGAACCTATCCGGATTGGCATAAATAACGATAAGGTGTATCTAGGCCATTGAATGTATGTACAAAGATCCATCTGTGAATGGAGTACCCCTCTATTACTGCTAGGGTACAGTGGAATTGGTGTACACTCCCCATCAAGAATCTTGGCAAGAACAGACAAACCGAAGAGATATCTATAGATTGATCTCCAGGTTAAAGTTGGGGGACCACTTTGACCAACCGAGGCCCCAAAGTACCCATTCTAGTTTAAACTCCAGTCTGGGTAACAGGGATGTGTGGGAGGGTGAAAATCACCCTACACATCATTTGCACATGTATTGATATTTCTAGCCCCCAAAGTCAATATCAAACTGGGGACCTTCAGCACAGTAGCCATCAGTCTTAACTGCTAGGCCACGAACTCACATGTTATGTTTGTTTTCAGTTATCATTTTAATTATGGTTTTAAAAGGACAGATGTTGGGATTTATATGAACGTTTGCACCATGACCGCCATTATGATGAAATACAAAATTATATTTTTTCTTCATGTAGATTGATAACTGATTTTGGTTATAATACCCATAACTAGTGATACATGTAGTATAGTAACCATTTATGGGATCTTCTCCAACCTGTTACACTTATGTCCTGATGATTGTCCTGACCGATATGAAAAATGCTAAAATATCTTCATTTTTGGAAGGATTGACTGCAAATGGTCCCTTAGGATGATTATAACATTTAATTAATGAATATAAGAAAAAAAATTTCAAAAAGTAATGATAAGAGTTTAAAAACTTGACCCAACCGACGTTGACTTTGCCCTTACTAATGAGTAATGTCCTGACCAATATGAAATTGCTAATAAATTTTTTTAGAATTGAAAGGAATGACTTCAAATTTGGTACCGAGGAAGATTATAACATTTTTAAAATTTCTGAATATTAGAAAAATATTGATTTTTTTTTTAATAGTTACTTAAGTTACACACAACTTGACCTAATTTCAAGTTTTCTAATGGGTACATGACATTGATCAGGACATAATCACTGATAATTGTAACCCTAGAATGTGTTTTCAAGTTCTAATGGGTACATGACATTGATCAGGACATAAGTGTAACCTTAGAATTTAGCAAATAAAACCACTGTCTAGGAATGATGTACTCTCATATGTTTAACTGCAATATATCTTTAAATAAGGCCTTCATTTTAGACCCAACCAATCATTACCCATATTATGTGTCTTTAGAGCTTTCTTAAAGGAACCCTTATCCTAAACCAGAAACATTATGTCTCTATCTACATTTTGTAAATCTAAACCCATACCTTACATAATTACCCCACAATTTTGGGTCATTATAGGCTGTAACGCACAAAGTTTTCTGCACTTACTTTAATCATCTTAAAGTAAATTGTTGGTAAACAATTGCCATTAAAACAAATATAAAAAAATTTAAGGATACAAGCTAAGGTAGAGTTCTAGAGTTATGCCCCTTTATAAATGGAAAAATTGCAAAATTTTTATTTTCTTCTAAATATCAAGTAATTTTTAAAATTGGAGTTATCTTCCTTTGTCTTTGATTATAGTTGAATCAACTACAATCAATGCTTTATACAATGCAATGTTTAATTTTGACTTCCACTGATAAAACACAGATCAAGTTGAATTTGGGTAGTGTCACTTTAACCATTATTGAGTTATGCCCCTTAAAAAATCGAAAGATTGCAAAATTTTTAGTTTCCATTCTGTAACTTAAGTTTGCCCCAACCAAACATTATGAAACCTATACACAATATTCATTACCACAAAACTAAGATCAAGTACAAATTTTTTGTTTCCGTTTTCTAACTTTAGTTTGCCTCAACCTAATGTTATGCTTATGCTTATTACTACATAATACAGATTAAGTACGAAATTTGGTGGCAACACTTTTACCATTCTTGCGTTATGTCCCTTTATAAACATAAAAATTGCTGAATTTTTCGTTTCCGTTCTCTAACTATAGTTTGTCTCTACCAAATGTTATAAAACTTATACACAACCGTTCTAGAGTTATGCGTGTTTACAAATAGAAAAATTGCTGAATTTTTAGTTTCTGTTCTCTACTTAAGTTAGCCTCAACCAAATGTTATGAGACTTACACACAATGCTTATTACCACAAAACTCAGATCAAGTTCAAATTTGGGTAGCGTCACTTTTACCGTTCTTAAGTTATGTCCCTTTATAACTATATGATATGCAAGCGGGGGCATCATCTGTGTCCACATGTGGATACTAACCACATTTATTTTTATTGTTTTTTGTGTGTTAATATATGTATTTAAGTGGGTATTTGATGCTTTTGATATTTTTAAATCAGAAACAAGACAACTTTAAAAAAAAATTAGAAATACCAGCATATCAAAATACAATGACAGAATTATTGACATAGAGAGCTTAAATATTTTTGCTGACCTTTTATAACCATAAGGGTATCTACAATGTATCACTTTTTTGTTTTATGTATGTTCATATGTAAATATTGAATAGCAGCCTTTTTCAGTTTATTGAATTAATTTTTTTTTCATGACTTTTTAAAAGAAAAAACACATTATAATTTTGGATGCAGAATTGTATACTATTTGTATTTATTGAACATGTCTGTTTCCACTTTCCAATTAATCATCAAAGTCTGTTGAAAATAATCATCTTGGTTATATAGGTTAAATTTTTGACAGTAAATATATTTATAATATATTTTATTGTTTGGAAGAGTGTCTTGTCTATAGTAAACTTAACGAGGTGTAGCTTGCAATTGTAATGATTCAGACATACCGTATTTGCTTTGAAAAGTTGTTCATTAAAAATTATTCCCATGAATTTAATGAATTAAGTCATTTAACGGTGGATGAAACCATATATGAATATAGGTATATAAACCTAGTTTTATACTGGTACATCTATGATCAAACTAAGCTGGTATACAAATACTGTCCTATGGAAAAGAAAAGATATGGATATGTTTTATTGAAATAGCATTCCAATCATTTTTTGCATATTCATGAATTCGTAATCTTGCCATAAATGTACAAACCTAAACAGTAAGCACAACTCTATACAGAGCACTACAATAGTGATGTTTCTTTTAAATAAATTAGAAAAAAACTGACATCATGAAGTAAATAACTATAGGTAATACAATTTTTTTTCAGATCACCTTTGAATTCTGGTGCAGGAGGAGGCCTACCACCATGCTGTCAGCCATCAGCGGCAGCTGGCTCTGGACCACCACCTCCTGTCCCCACTCGTCCATCACAACAGTCAAATTATAGCAGATTCTCTTCACCATATGGTTATTCTAGTCCTTACAGCAGTATGGGGATGTATGGTGGTGGTGGTATGTATGGTGGTGGGTATGGAGGAATGAGTAGTCCATATTCTGGTGGTGGTATGTATGGTGGAGGGTATGGAGGACAGTATGGATCATATGGTAACGGAGAGTACAATGGATTCGCCAGACAAGCTGAGGAGAATTCTCGGCAAGCATTTCAGTCTGTAGAGAGTATTGTAAATGCCTTCACATCAGTTAGTATGATGTTAGATTCTACGTTTCAAGCTGTGTATAATTCATTCCGTGCTGTCATTGGTGTAGCAGATAATTTCTCAAGATTAAAACATCAGTTATCTTCTGTATTTTCTGCTTTTGCACTTTTCAAATTCCTCAGATATATATACAGAAAGGTTTTGGTTTTGTTACGACTGCGACCAAATATGGAGACTGATGAAGCATGGAGTCAGGCAGCAGCATCAGCAATTCCATCTGTGGCAGGAGAAGGAGACAGTCCAAAGAAGAGTACCTGGCCTATAATGATGTTCCTTGCCATTATCATGGGTGGTCCATACCTGATTTGGAGATTGATTTCAAGTGTAACACAAACACCAGGTATGTATTTATTATATGTTCAAAGAACTCTCAAGTTGGTGTTTTAAAAATTGATGTATTATATTTTTTTTCCTTTACATTTATATTAGTGATATACAATTCTAGATGCAGACTGCAGTGAATCAATTTTTTAATCTTTTCTAAAAATAACAATGATGTCACTGTGGTAGGTAATATTTTATATATTAGAGTTATCATCCTTAGGCCATAACTGTAGTTGATGTAACTACAATTATGGACAAAAGATGATATCGTCAATTCAAAATATTGCCTTCCAATGCTTGATACAATGCAATTTTAAATTTTTAGTTCCCAATGTAATGGGTGCAATCTTCAGTGCATACAAACAATTATTTAATTCAATATTGCTTAAAACATGTTGCTTAACCCAGAAATACTTAAAAATTTTGAAATTATATGACGAAAATTATCATATTAAATTGTTTTCAATCTTTCGTTTTTTAAATGTTACTGAGTGTATATACTTTGTGAATGTGTTTTTTAGGCAAGCAATGGATGACAGGAGAAGATGACCATTTTGTTGCCACAGCACAGTATGACTATAAAGCAGAAAATGAAGGAGAATTATCATTTTCTGTAGGTCAAGAAATCAAAGTGGCTCCAAAAGGTATGAATACCAAAGATTAAGTTGTTTGTTACTGTACTCAGTTATAGTTATATGATAGGTAAAAGTTAATGGCAATTTAAATTGGTCAAGTAAGTAGGAATCATTATTCTTTTTTAAATTAAAATAAAATCTCTGCCGATTACATCTATTGGTTATGGAAGTTTACATGAACCTTTTCTTTTGTCAGTGTTGTGTATCAGTTGAGGCTATCCATAGTAAGATTAATCAAAAGTTATTCTAGGGCTACATTTTGAAATTTTATCAAAATTTGATACATGTAGGTGTGAAATATCTCTTAAATGATATATTAAATACATTTGTACTGTAAATTCAGAAATTTTTGCATTGTTTTTATTATTTCAAAAATTGTGACGGAATAAACGTAGGTTTCACAAAAATAGGAACTCACGTTTTGAATTTTGATAGCATTATTTGTATGCACTATTATCTGAAAATACAATAATTAATCTCACATTTCTGTCCTGAATCACAATGATAAATGCATTCAAAAATTTCTGACTTTACACAGCATATGTATTGCTACTAAAATATTGTTGTTTTTTATATCATTGTCTGGTACTTTTGGCATTTGCTAGGCTCTCACCTATTTGATAGCTACTAAGCACATCCCAAGGTTGAGGGGCAAGAGTGTTGTCTTTCTGGAAGTTTGGCAGGTCATATTGTGACTCATTGGTTGATTTATTAGATATTCCATATGGTCAGGTCTGCTAACTACCAAGTTTCTATAAAGATGTTGAAAACAACAGATTGGTCCATATTGCACATATTTGCTGAACTTTTTCCCAGACATGCAATATATGTTTGTTTTAAGTTTTAAACAGTCAATTTAAGCATTGCATGAACATGATTTTTGAAATTACAAGTTTTAAAAGTGTAGCTTTCTAAAAATAAAATTATGATGTACAATTAGAAAAAATAAGAGAGTAATACAATTTGGATGTCCAATTTACCCAAATAGTTTTATTGTTATTTCAGAAATACAGCCAAGAATTAAGGGCTGGCTTCTTGCAAGTGTTGATGGACAAAAAACAGGAATTATTCCTGGAAATTATGTGAAAGTTTTAGGAAAAAGACAAGGCACCAGAAAGGTAAATCAGGTTGCCATCGAAGCAGTACAAAATACTGTCACAAAAAGTTGTTGCAGTAAAGAAAACACTACTCCCAAAAGTTGCTGCGATAAATCACAAAATCCATCATTAAATTGTGTAAATGACAACCTTGAGAATGTTTCAACAGAGAACCCACCAATAGATAGTAACGATAATCAAGTGCTGGATAATGCTTTTGGTAATGTGGACAGTACTTCTGAAATGGAAGCATATGACATAGTTGACAAGTGTCAAGATTAATTCAGTAAAAATGTTTTGTATATTCAGATTTCTGTGATTATTTATATATAGTGATTTTAATGATTAATTTTGTCATGAAATACTGTCTTTTTTACTAGATACAATTGACATATTTTCAATGTAAATTTATAAATCTTCTTTGTGCTGATACCTGCAAGTTATTTAAATTCATTATACCCCCGCTGTTTTACCTCTGTCTGGCTGTCCGTCCGTCCGTCCGTCCGTCCCATGAATATTTTCGTTGCATCTTTCTCAGGAACTACATTACAAAGATTTCTGAAATTTGGTTTCAGGGTTCATATAAGTCAGCTATACTGTGTGATGCGTATTCAGATTCATCACTCAACAACTTCCTGTTTACCGAACACTTGTATCATTTTACACATGATAGCCAAGATGAAAATTTTCGTCACACTTTTCTTAGGAACTACAATACAAGGATTTCTGAAATTTGGTTTCAGGGTTTATATAAGTCATCTATACCGTGTGATGCGTTTTCAGATTCATCACTCAACAACTTCCTGTTTACCGAAATATTTGGGCGGGGGTCTCATCAGTGAGCAGTAGCTCGCAGTTTCACTTGTTAATGATATTGTTTCTGTCATTCACAAGCTCCTAGATTATCACCCTCTACAGTGAAATCCCTTGAGGGACTGAATATCATATTAGGCTAATTTACTAGCTGAATGAGCTGATAGCAAATTAACTTCTGTAATACATTATGTCAGTATTTGCAGGAACCATATTAGTTCTGATGAAAAATTTGCTTTGCTTTTATTTTATTATTCTTCAATGCAACAATAAGTACTCATATCTAATATATATAATATCTTTGCAAGTTTGATTGTTTCTTTATCAGGCAGCCTTGGAAGAGTTGGAATAAAGATGTGAGCTCCTTTGATCCATATTAGCAAATCCTATCTAGGTATTGGAAACCTAAGATTAATGTGATCAAATATTGAAATAAAATGAGCATAATTCCCTTTCTGTAGGAGAGTCTGTTCATGTCTGGTTACTTTATAGCTCACCTGGCCCAATGGGCCAAGTGAGCTTTTCTCATCACTTTAATTTAACTTGGCCTCAATCATTATTAGGGTATCTTATACTATTTATTATGATTTTAATCTTATTTTACATGATTTCCAAAACCACAGTAGATACAGGTGAGCGACACAGGCTCTTGAGAGCCTGTAGTTTGTTAAATAGTGTAGAAGGAATTGCAGATTAGTATTTGTGATGAAGAAGCCAGAAGACACAAGATTACATATACTGATACCAATAGTTTGACTGTTAAATTAAATGAAATTAATGGTTTGATATAAATGATTATTTGGATGGAAATGTTATATTAACAGTGTCATTATCAACATGTTTTACATGTACTATGCAGATTTGATTGAACACAATAAAGTATATATTTATTAACAAAACTAATTTATACACCAATAGATTTATCCACAGAGAATATTATTATAATGACAGCAGAATAGGTAAAAATGACATGTTAATTATATATATACAATAAATGTACATTGTTGGATATATATCATTGATTTGTTCAAGTTCTAGAAACTAGAGGAAAAACTATGCTCACAGAGCTTTTCTCCTGTTTTTGTATTGATTACAAATACATTTGATATTATTTTATGACAATGTATGCATATTGTTTTTATCCTGCAATTTAACATTGACACTTAAAACTGGTAACTAATTTGTTAAGTCCCCTTATTCAGTAAAGAAATCAACATTGCTTAGAAATGAACTGCCAAAATGACATCAAAATAAACTGTGACAGTTGAATCGTTCCTTCACAATAAAAGCAGGATACCTGCAGACTATATATGTATATATTACTATAAGTATACTGCTTCATATTATCTGTACATCTGTATTAGTATAGTAAAATGGAAGATAACTTTAGATATTGGTTTGGTTCTAATCATCAGAACTTTGTTTCTTTGGATAGCACCTTTATCCTTTTTGGTTCCCTATTAAAAAAATTTTGATATTTCCTTTTTATCAAATTTTCAGATAAATTAGACATATAGATTTTATTTTGTTTAATAATTTTTTTGGTCACATCAACTACTACAAGTATTTGTGTTGACCTCATGTTACTTCTTTTGAGATCCTTTTCAAACTTAAATGAAGGATTACTTTTATAAAACTTTGAATGAGTTTGTTTATAAAACAATCAGAAATATGGAACTCTAGTATTTTTGCTGACATGGTGTTTTTTTTAATAAAATTGAGAATGGAAATGGGGAATGTGTCAAAGAGACAACAACTCGACCATAGAGCAGACAACAGCCGAAGGCCACCAATGGGTCTACAATGCAGCGAGAAACTCCCGCACCCGGAGGCGTCCTTCAGCTGGCCTCTAAACAAATATGTATACAATTCAGTGATAATGGACGTCATACTAAACTCCAAATTATACACAGGAAACTAAAATTAAAAATGATACAAGACTAACAAGGGCCAGAGGCTCCTCACTTGGGACAGGCGCAAAAATGCGGCGGGGTTAAACATGTTTTTTGAGATCTCAACCCTCCCCTTATACCTCTAGCCAATGTAGAAAAAACAAACGCACAACAGTACGCACAGTAAAACTCAGTATAAGAGAAGTCCAAGTCCGATGTCAGAATGGGAAACGAAAGAAAATAAACAAAATGACAATAATACATAAATAACAACAGACTACTAGCAGTTACTGACAAGCCAGCTCCAGACCTCAATTAAACTGATTGAAAGATTATGTCTTCATCATTTGAATATCAGGCATAATCCCTCTAAGTCTTCTTATAATACATTTTGTATATTTGGTTAAAATAAGATATTATTTTCTTATTTTTCTAGGAAACTTGAAGTGGTACAAATTTCACATACTCAGGGAAGTGGACTTCTTTCTATCTTTCAGATGAGCTGAGTTGAGACTGGAATCAGATGAATTCACTTACTATTGGATCTTACAGTATATGATTTCCCAAAGAAAAATTTCCTAATTTTGGTCCAAACAGAAAAAAAAATACAACCTCACATATAGTTTTTATTGAAAAATTGAAAATTCTGCTTAAAACCGAAAAGGATTTGGCCCCATACTTATATAATGAATAATTAAAATAAAGTCTTAGAGTGTTGGGAAGTATTTGATTTTAGGATAAGTGGAAATCTGCACTTTTTTAAAACTATCTTTAAAAAGATAAAACAGATAGTATTTATATGGCTTTGATCAGATCTTAAAAGAATATAAGGTGCAAAACTGTGAATAAGTTGTGAAAATTTTGTCTACAATTGGGGGAAAATGTTAAGGAAAAAGTATGATAATTGATTGAATTTTTACAATTTGTTCCAGCATGTATTTAAATTTTTATTTTTTTGTCTTGCCTGTGAGGAAAGTTGCTGAAAGCCAGACATAGGTGTTGCTTTTCTGGCGGCAGCAGCAATGGCAGAGCATGCATCAACAATTGTTAAGTCTTGTACTTAAGTCAGTTTGATAGGAACTACTTGTGATAGATCAATGATATTTTCTATAAAGTTGTATTACTATCAGTACGACTATTTCAGAACCCTGCCCTATACGTCAAGGTCCAGCGACTTTCAATTAATAAGCAATTTTCAATGTTAATTTTTCTGCTTAAGTCAGTTTGATAGGAACAACTTGTGAATAGTAAAATAACAAAAATTCCGAACTCCAAGGAAAATACAAAACGGAAATTCCCTTATCAAAAACGAATGGAAAACAACTGTCATATTCCTGACTGGTACAGGCATTGATTACTGATATTTTCTATAAAGTTGCAGTACTATCAGTTTGATGACTATTTTGAAGCCCTGCCCCCTAGGTAATGGTCCAGCGACTTTGAATTGATTAGCAATGTTGCTGTCCATCAGATTGTCTTTTTTTGAATTTTCTGCTGACAGTCTAGACATATCTCTGGGTCAACAGTTTATAATAAACATCTACATATATACTGAATAAGGTGATACTTATAACCCAGTTACTCAGCAAATATTGATAAAACATAATATGGGACAGAATTCAGAATTTAAGGCAAGTGATAAAACAATATATATGTTTAAATGAATTGCAGAAAGTATAAAACACATTTTTATACGACCGCAAAAAAATTTTGTGGTGGTATATTGGTATCACGTTGTCATCGTCGTCCGAAGACACTTGGTTTCCCCGACAATAACTTTAGTATTAGTAAATAGAAATCTATGAAATTTAAACAAGGTTTATAACCACAAAAGGAAGGTTGGGATTGATTTTGGGGGTTATGGTCCTAACAGTTTAGGAATTAAGGGCCAAAAAGGGCCTAAATAAGCATTTTTTTATTTTTCAGACAATAACTTGTGGAACGGTGTATGGATCTCTCTGAAATTATACAACAAGTTTCCATACCACAAAGGGATGGTTAGGATTGGCTTTGGGGGTTTATGGCTCAAACCATTTAGGAATTAGTGGCAAAAAAGGGGTGAAAACAAGGGTTTCCTTGTTGATGGACAATCACTTTTAAGTACAATGTTAAATTTGGATAACCTCCCTTACACTGCTTTAAAATTATGTATAAAGAAATTTTTTATTGTCTTGAGGTGATTAGCTGTCAATTTATTTTTAGAAGTTACTAATAACAATGCTGATTAAATTCGCAACAGCATAGTGAATTGCACAAAAGCAAAAAATTTAATATAAATTCAAATCATATAACCAATTCTAGGTTCTTTGACTACAGTTATTCTGTGTCAGAAACCTATTACGTGTCAAACTTTTAATTTCAATCCAAATTCAGACCTGTATCAAGCATGAATATTGTGTCCATTTTTGCCCCAACTGTTCAGGGTTGGACCTCTGTGGTCATATCCAGCTGCGCTTGGTGAAGCAATTTATTAATCATCTACCACCAACATTTCGCTGTAATTTTTCGTTAATTTTAATTTGACTGTCCAACGATTTCATCATGTGCAACTCAAAATGGTTACAGAGCCCTCTTGAACTTACAGTGAGGTGAGATTGTTTGTTCCACAGTGACAAAGAGCTGTTTTATCCCTTTATATGAGGAGGGGACATTAAGTGTTACCCTTGTCCATCCCTTCCGTCGAGTATGTCCCCAAAATTGGTTTCCGTTCTCTAACTTAAGTTTGCCTCAACCAAATGTTATAAAACTTCTGCAAAATGCTTATTACCACAAAACACATATCAAGTTCAAAATTGGGTGGTGTCACTTTTACCGTTCATGAGTTATGCCCCTTTATAAACATAAAAATTGCTGAATTTTTCGTTTCCTTTCTCTAACTTTAGTTTGCCTCAACCATATGTTATAAAAATTGTACACAATGTTTATTACCACAAAACACAGATCAAGTTTGAAATTGGGTGGTGTCACTTTTACCGTTGAGTTATGCCCCTTTATAAAAGGAAAAATTGCTAAATCTGTCGTTTCGTTCTCTAACTTTAGTTTGCCTCAACCAAATGTTATGAAACTTATACACAATGCTTATTATCACAAAATGGTCTCAACTACGTGAATCCTGCATCTGTATGTGGAAGTTGACTCGTGCATATTTACAAGCAGGGCATCTGTGGCTCATAGACACATTCTCCATTTATTTTAGCTCACCTGCCACAAAGAGCCAAGTGAGCTTTTCTCATCACTTGGCGTCCCTCGTCTGTTAACTTTTACAAAAATTTCTCCTCTGAAACTACTGAAACAAATTCAACCAAACTTGGCCACAATCATCATTGGGGTATCTAGTTTAAAAAATGTGTCTGATGACCCCGCCTGCCAACCAGCTGACATAGCTAAAAATAGAACATAGTGGTAAATTGCAAGTTTTGCCTATTGTTAATAGAGGAAATCTGACAAGCGCAAAAATGTTCAGATTGTTAAGGATGTACACCTCTGAGGAGCCAAAAATTTCTAGAATTAAACTTTTTTTCTTATTCTGATTTTTGGGTTTATATGACTGTAAGAAAGTAATTGATGAAGAAAAAATCATATGGTGGTGCACTACTGTTTTTTGCTAAGGCCATTTTAAAGTACCCAATTTTTATGATTTTTACATTTTTCATCAGTTTTTACTCATTTTTGGGCTATTATCATGAAAAAAAATCACAGTTTCACAATTTAACTTTTTTCATACTTTCACTTAAGATGAAGTGGACCAATCTGAATAAATTAAACTTAAAAAAACTGTAGGTAGGTGTTAATATAAGAAAGTTTTATAAAATTTTGTTGCTGTTTTAGCTCACCTGGCCCAGTGAGCTTTTCTCATCACTTGGTGTCTGACGTCGTCGTCGTCCGTCGTCGTTAGCTTTATACAAAAATCTTCTCCTCTGAAACCACTGGGCCAAATTTAACCAAACTTGGCCACAATCATCATTAGGGTATCTAGTTTAAAAAATGTGTCCGATGACCCCGCCAACCAACCAAGATGGCCTCCATGGCTAAAAATAGAACATAGGGTTAAAATGTAGATTTTGGCTTATATCTCTGAAACCAAAGCATTTAGAGTAAATCTGACAAGATAAAACTGATTATCAGGTCATGATCTATCTGCCCTGAAATTTTCAGACAAATCTGACAACCCTTTGTTGGGTTTCTGCCCCTGAATTGGTAATTTTAAGGAAATTTTGCCGTTTTTGGTTATTAT